AGTTTCTTTTCCTTTGTAACAAGGTAATTAGCAAATGCAGGTGGTCAGGTAAATTGGGGTTGAATCTCCAATGAAATGGGTGTGACCAAAGGTGCTGTGCAGTCCCCTAAGCGTGGCTTCTCTTGAGAACGTGTGCAGTGTGCAATGCGCTGGACCCACTGGCTAGTTTAGTGATGAGCTTTCTGTCTTTGCAGCACCTTAGCAGATCATTGCCTGTGATGTGCATCTCACTCTGGGTTAATGCCTCTTCAGTGATGAAATGTTTTCTTCCTCTTCTACCTCTGCAGAGACTTGCTGGGATAGATTGATTGTAATTCTATTTCTGTACCGCTAGAGGACAGGCTTTGGGGTGAGGCAGCTGGGGAGGAGTTTAGAACCTATGCCTAGGCTTTCCACACTCCTCAGGCACCAGTTCATCAGTAGCAGAACCTAAACCCAGGACTTCCTTGTATGAAGTACCTAGAATAGACAAATTCACAGAGACAGAAAACAGACTAAAGGATCTAGGATGTGGGGAGAAAAGGGAATTATGGTTTAATGGTTAAGAGTCTTTTTGTCAGGGATGATGAAAACATTTTGTGTATAGACAATGGTGATAGTTACACAATACTAGGAATGAAATGCCACTGAATGATACACTTTCCGATGGTTAAAATGATTTTCATGTAGCCTCTCTGTCTTTTGTCTTTATCTATCTGTATCTGCTTTTCTCCCACCCAAGAATATCAGTTCTCAACAGTGCCTGGAATTCCCTCCATCTCACAATTCAAATCCAAGTTCTTCTGACTCTGTTCTATTCTTCTACTTAAATCGTAGCTGCTTTACGCAGGCTCTGGGCCCTTGAATTGTAAAATGTTAAATGGAACTCTTTATGTAATTTATAGTTAAATATGCATTCATTCATATGGAATTTGCTTTCAGTTTTAGACATCTATTGACTATGGTGTAGTTTTACTGAAAATCAAGTGATACTTCCTGGTTGAAGCAGTGTTGGAAGAAATGGCTCTTTTATCAGAATTGCATATTCTGATATTGGCATATTAAGTTTATCATAATCTCTTGGCTTATATTCTGGGTCCCCTAATTACTCTTTAATTCTTTCTCTGCAAATGAAATAATACACATCTTGTATGGTTTTGCTTTATAGGATTTGCCAGCAACTGTTCCTTACTTAAAAATGTTTACAGTTGGGGATCAAGTGCCTGATGATGAGACTATCTTTAAATTCAAACACACGGTTAATGCATTTTTTAAAGAAAATAAAGATAACGGTGAGTTTTTGTTCCACTTTTTGGAACTTTGGTGTGCTCTGAATGGGGTTGGGAAATTTTTGGTAGTTTTTATAGTTGTAACTTTAGACCTGTTGTATTTAATAATGCTAAGGCGATGAAAATGTCAGCTGGTACTAACAGGGTAAGATGATGAGGAATGGGACAGTCCCCAAGAAGCAAAACAAGAAGGAGTGCACCAGTGGAATTGCCCCTTTGTCATATATATTTAAGATATTTCTGCTGTTTTTCCGCTCTGAGTACAGATAAGGAATATCCCACCACCTCTTATTCTTCATGCGGGAAGTTTGAAGTCTCCACCAGTCATATTCCATCTATATATTTGCTTATTTCTCTCCCCCGCTTGAATGTAAAGTATATAAGGGCAAGGAAGTATATAAGGGTAAGCCAAAGGCTGGTGCTTTCTTGTTCCTGCTTTAAGATTTACCTTACTCTATTGAAAATAGAACCTAATAGCCTCTTTAGCTTAAGGATCCAGTTGCCTTTTTCTGGCATCTACCTGCCAGAAAGAATGTGATACTTACCATATTTTAAGACTGAAGAGACTTTTGTGTTTGGAAAACAACTGACACCCACAGGACAAAGCCTTCATTTTGCCTTTTACAAATTTAGCTTGAGGAGTGTACACTCTATTACATTAATCTGACAGTAAATATTCCTTTTAAAAAATGTGATGGAGTAGTGGAGACAGAATAGAGACAGAGAGGGGAAGATAGGGAATGGAAGGTGAGAGGTAGAGACTGGGTCAGTGGGTTTGAAGATAAAATGTCCAATTATAACCCAGTCAGTCACTTAATGTAGACACTAGCTTCTGATTATGTTAACAGATCTTCCTTGTTCATAGATCTTCCCCTGTACTTTAACTTTAAAACTTGAGAGATTTGGCTTTCTCATTTGTATAAGTTGTTGTCACAGGAATACCACCTTTTAAGATATGAGGGTACAGCTGATGGCCTGTTCACTGCTTCCAACCTCTTTTGTGTGAAACTTTTATATAGCACCTCATCTGTTCTGTGAGGCTAGGAGGTCCTTATGAACACATGAGAACACATTTTTAAATCTTAGTTGTTCACATGTTAACACTGATTGCAGTCAGATGGTTAGACTGGACTCCATGTTGGTCTTCTGCCTGAGCTGTGCTGGCTGGCTGAGTCTTGCAATACCCACTTCCACAGCAGGCTTGGGACCTTGTTTGTAATCCATTTGGCTACCTCTGCTATAAACCCTTCCCACAGACACCAGGCTCACTGATGAAAAGAGGACACTACACTCTCCACTGTCTTCTAGAACTGGTGGAGACTCAAAATAAATTGATGCAGTAAACACGGAGATCCTTTTAGATTTCTTGCTAGAGTCTGAGGACACAGAGATGTTAGCAGTCTTTGTTTTTTATCATAGCAGCTCACAGTTATCTAGAAAAATAAACATGTAGTGCATGTGGTTTAAGACTTGGATTATAGACAAAAAGACAGTTCCTTATAATTAAAGAATAAATTAATTACAGTGAGAATATAGAGGAGAGATTGATGATGGCCTCACTGAAGACAACATTCGAGCTGCAGGGACGAGAATTTTGCCAGGATGAGAAAAGTACAGCCCAGTTTTGGGGATTAGGTACAAGAGGCACCAGGCTTAAATCCATGGAGAGGCAGCCTCATGTGTGACTAGAAGATAGTGTGAAAAGGCATGGAGTTCATATGTTCGTTTTCAACAAATAATTACATAACCTAAGTTGAAGACACTTTTCTAAAAAGTGGGAATAGAACAAAGTCCTTGCCCTTATATACTTTACATTCTAGTCGGGGAGAGAAATAAGCAAATACATATATGGAATACATATGGTGATAAGTGCTTTAGAGAATAACAAAACAGGATAAAGGGGTGAGGGAAGAGGTTAGTGATCAGGAAGGCCTCTTTATGAAGATGTCATTTGAGCAGAACCTTAAAGGAAGTAATGAATCAAGTCATTGGGTGTCTGGAGAGGAGTGTTCCAAGGCAGAGGGAACAGCAGCGCAAAGTCCCTGAGGCATGACTGTGCTAGGCATGTTTGAGGGGTGGTAAAGAGGCCAGTGTGGCTGGAGTGGCAGCAATGAGGGTCAGAGTGGGAGAAATGGGATCCAAGAGGTTAGGGGTGGGCAGAAGGGAGGAGGATCATATAGGCCCTTGTAAATCATACTTAGGATCATTGTGGACGTGGATCAGTTGGAAAGACAGATATCAGTTGATAAAGGATTCTAAATGCCATGCCAAGTGTGGCCATCATGCTATGGTAAATTAAGACTTTTAAGCAGAAACAACCCAGCCAGGCTTATGTTTTAGAAAGGTAACATCTGCCATGTGGAGGATCAGTTGAGATAGAAGTAGGGAAAGTAGGGAGATTAATTTGTTGTAGTAATCCAGGCAGACAATGATGAGTGGCTGCTGCTGCTGCTGCTGCTGCTGCTGCTTCTTCTTCTTCTTCTTCTCCTTCTCCTTCTCCTTTTCTCCTTCTCCTTCCTCTTCCTCTTCCTCTTCCTCTTCCTCTTCCTCTCCTTCTCCTTCTCCTTCTCCTTCTCCTCCTCCTCCTTCCTCTTCCTCTTCTTCTTCTTCTCCTTCTCCTTCCTCTTCTTCTTGTTCTTCTCCTTCTCCTTCTCCTTCTCCTTCTCCTTCTCCTAATTCTTCTTCTTCCTCTTCTTCTTCTTCTTTCAGACAAAGTCTTTCAGACAAAGTGTTACCCAGGCTGGAGTGCAGTGGCATGATCTCAGCTCACGACAACCTCTGTTTCCCAGATTCAAGAGATTATCCTGCCTCAGTCTCCCAAGTAGCTAGGATTACAGGTGCTTGCCACAACACCCAGCTAATTTTTTGTACCTTTAGTAGAGACAGGGTTTCACCACATTGTCCAGGCTGGAAAGTGCTGAGATTACAGGCATGAGCCACCACACCTGGCTGATGAGTGCTTTCCTTACCATACGCTACCTAAAGTCACAGACACAGATTTTGCAAAGATAAACTACATGTTTTTTATTTAATTCCTCTTATAATGTGTTTTTAAAGGGTGAACTAAGAAATACTGTGGTGTAATGGGAAAAATATTAGACTTGATTCTAGTCTTGTGCTGTTTGCCTGCTTTGACTTGCATCTCCAAGCCTTGCCTTTTCGTGGTGAAGTTTGAATAGTGCTATTTACCTGAGTACTTCACAGGGCACATAGACCTGTGGCATGTGTGGAGCACCAAATGAGAGAAGGAATGGAAGCTCTTTGGGAAGTCGAGTACTATGGAAACTGTCCTTACTATTCCAGTATCAAGTGGGAAGGCATTTCGTTAGTTTCATTCAGAAACAAATTTCATTCTTCTCATAGCCTGTTGTTGCTTTCACTCCTTTTTTGTATAATTAAATTAATTACTGATTGGCATTCTATTTTTAGAAAGATGGGTTTGTCTCATTGCAGATTGAGCTGTTAGTATCTTTTTTTTTTTTTAAATTCACAGTCCAAAACTGCAGTTAAGCTGTTAGTGTCTTACCAAGCCTGTAGTTTACATCATTAAGTCTAATTGGGACTATGCCAAGTTTCCCAGAAGCAGTGAATTTTGACATTCTGTTAGGTGATTCTTTATAGTATGTTCCAAAAAAAAAATTCCTCTTCAGAGTTATTCATTTTCAGGGCAGTGATAATGTTATACACTTGTGTATGCAATTCAGTTTCTTAACCCTGTATTTTCTTTTTACAGACAAACTTATTGGTGTTCACTGCACCCATGGGTTAAACAGGGCTGGCTACCTCATTTGCAGGTAAGTTGCCGACCCCAGAGGGAGACCATTTTAAAGTTGTTTTTGTCTGTTTATAATAGTAATGTAAACCTGTTGAAAAAATGCAACCAATCTAGAAATATATGAAGTAGAAGGCAGTCTTGATCTCACCCAGCGATTACCACCATTAATAATTTAGTACACATATTTTCAGACTCTAAAAATGCAGATACAAACATACATGTGATTGAATGTTGTAATACTTAGACATTCTGTTTTTTAATATGTGATAGACATCGTTTTTTGGAAGTACCTGGACTCCTCATTCTTTTTAAGGGCTGTTTTCCTTTGCATACCGATGAACACCAAAGTCAGAAATTTTTGATATTATAAAAAACATTGACATCATGAACATTTCTATATAAACATTTTTGAATACATACGCCATAGCCCCAGCAACTTCACTCAAAATAGAATTTCTGAATCAAATTATCTGTGTCCTTATGCTTTTCATGGATGTTGCCTCACTGTACTGATTTATATTTGTTCATTCAGAAAATATCTCCTGAGCTTCTGTTATGTGGAGGCACTGTGCTGGGTGCTAGCAAAGAGACTTCAGCTGCCCTGTGCCTTCTAACAGTCTAGGGGGAGAGTCGATATTAAGGAATCTCACAAATGCCTATAGAACTACAACTCTGACAGGTGCTGAGGAGGAGAGGGACGTGGTACAATGAGAGCATAGAACAGGGAGGATTTGACTTCAACGAGAGGACTAGAGGTTTCCATGAGGAGGTCTGAGCAACTATCTGAAGTATGAGTTGGTGTCAACCAGATAGGACCGTTGTGGAGAGAATTGTGAACATTAAGGATCAGCAAAGCCCATGGAACAGGAAAACATATACTGTGTTGGAGGAACTGGCCAGGGAGACTGGGCCATGAGGGAAGTATGGCATTAAAATGGAGCTGGAAGTAGGGGTAGGAGCTAAAACCATGCAGAGCTGTGTGTAAGGTTTTAGTCACTGTCTTAAGAACAATAGAAATCCGTTGAATTTTTTTTGTTGGGGATGAGTGTGGGAAACATAATCAAATTTACATTTTCAGCCTATCATTTTGCTGCTGAGTGGAGAATACACTGCAAAGGGAAAGAGTTAGAAGCAGGGAGACACATTAGGAGGTATCTGCAGGAATTAAGGCATAGTGGTGGAGTGGACCATGGAATGTGGTCATTTTGGTGGAGAGATACAGACATATTCTAGAGATATTGAGGTAATACTGTTGTCAGGAAATGGTGGGGATTGAAGAGGAGAGTATGGAAGAAATGGCTGACAGTGATGGTGACTCCCAAGTTTCTGGTCCATTCTGTTGGTTATATGGTATTTTTTAGATATAATGTTAATATTTTTCCCAATTTGTGTTTTGTTTCTGATAACTGCTCTGTTGTATTAAGGAAGTCTCTTTCTATTTTTAGTATATCAAGCATTTGGATAAAAAGTCATTCCATAATCTCTTTCATTTTGTTTATTAAATTATAGTAATGTAAATAAATATGTAAATAGATCTTCTGAAGTTGGGTCATCCTTGCATTCTTGAAAAATGTCATTTTGTGTTCATGGTTTGTCATCTTTTAATAATTGCTGGATTTAATGTACTGATATTTTCTTAAGATTTTTATATCAGCTGGGCGTGGTGGCTCATGCCTGTAATCCCAGCACTTTGGGAGGCCGAGGCAGGTGGATCACGAGGTCAAGAGATCGAGACCATCCTGGTCAACATGATGAAACCCCCGTCTCTAATAAAAATACAAAAAATTAGCTGGGCACAGTGGCATGTGCCTGTAATCCCAGCTACTCCGGAGGCTGAGGCAGGAGAATTGCCTGAACCCAGAAGGCGGAGGTTGCGGTGAGCTGAGATCATGCCATTGCACTCCAGCCTGGGTAACAAGAGCGAAACTCCGTCTAGAAAAAAAAAAAAAGGATTTTTATATCTATGTCTGTAAGTTGAAATAGGACACTTTTTGAAAAATCTTGATTGTTTTTCTTTTCATATATATAAATGGCCCAAAATATGTTGTTTTGTTAGATATTTGATTGATGTAGAAGGCATGAGGCCAGATGATGCAATTGAATGTAAATATGAGGGTTGTCACTATTTTTCCCTTTTATAAAATTAAAGGTGGAAATGTAGAAAAGTTTGTCAAATTTAGGAAAAAAATTTGTAATTCATTTGTTCCAATATAAGATAGTCTTGCCAAAAAGTCTATAGATGACTATGGATGTAGGGAGATATCACAGCCTGAATAGCGCATTTCAGCCTAATATACGGTTTCTGGGAAAAATTTGTTTTTTGTACAGTTGTTTTTAACAGGTTATCCACTTCTCAGTATTCAACACGTGCTGGGGACATTGCTTAGAAAGAAAAATCTCTTCACAATGGTCCTATCAGAAAGTCTTATTGATTAATCGATTGATTGATAGATTGATTCTTCTGAGATGGAGTCTTACTCTGTCGCCCAGACTGGAGTGCAGGGGCACCATCTTGGCTTACTGCAATCTCCACCTCCGGATTCAAACAGTTCTCCTGCCTCAGCCTCCCAAGTAGCTGGGATTACAGGCATTCACCACCATGCATGGCTAATTTTTGTATTTTTTTTAGTAGAAACTGGGTTTCACCATGTTGGCCAGGCTGGTCAGGAACTCCTGACCGCCTGATCCACTCGTCTTGGCCTCCCAAAGTGTTGGGATTACAGGCATGAGTCACCGCACCCATAATTCTTGTGTTTTATATGTGAGATTTGTGTGTCAGGGCAATCTCTTTTCATATAATGTAAATTGCATATATCCATTTTTCTGGTAACTTGTTTATTTGTTGTGGGAGATGTAAACAAATAGGAATGGGAAAAGGAAGAAATTGTTATTTTCATAGGCCAAAATATAGTCACTAAACTGACCAGTACATTTGGAAATCAGTAATATTGTGTGGAAATATTCTCACTAATGAATTGGAATTTCAGTGTACCCAGGTCAAGTGGTTTTGAAGACTCAGCACATTTCATGCAGCCAGTCCACCCCATGAATTAGCCTGTTAAACAAAGCCCTAGGTGTAATCTACATGGGATCCAGGGTCACTCAACTCCTCGGCATTTCCACGCTCAGACCCCACATTTGCAACAGTGAGTCAGGTACCTCTCTCTGCTTTCCTTTTCCTGGAATTGAGGTAGAAATTAATACTGTAATTAATGAAAACACATTATGATACTGATGAGGAATTCTTGCTGACCAGTTTGAACCAGGAGATACTATTCTGCTCTGTATTTTGCAGTTAGCACTGGAAAAATCAGTTACAAGACAGGGAATATGTGACTTTTCAGAGGCAACTGGGAAAGGGACTTAGAAATTTTCATTGATTTTGAACTTAAGCCAGGAGTTTGATTTGATATCCAAAAGGATCTTGTATTCTTAGGCTACACTAATATTATATGGTTTTTAGATCAGGAAGGTTGTTACTTAGAGCGTTAATATGAATTATAAGAAAAGTAATAAAATCCTACTAGAGAAATTGCAAAGGATCTGAACAGATAAATAACAAAAGTATTTTCACTTGGAAAATGGCAAAAATCTCAGTATGGTTAAAGTAGTACGTTACTATGAGTTCTCCAGAATGATAGAATCAGTAGGATGGATGGATGGATGGATGAGTGGGTCGGCAGGTGGGTAGGTGTGTGGCAGGGCTTTTTTATTAGGGGAATTAGCTTATGCATTTAGGAAGGCTGGGAAGTTTCATAGTAGGCTTTCTGCAAGCTGGAGAACCAGGAAAGCTGGTAGCGTTCAGTCCAAGTCAGAAAGCCTCAGAATCAGGGAAGCTGGTGGAGTAACTCTCAGTCCAAGGCTGAAGGCCTGGAAATCCAGTAAAGGGTGCAGAACAATGGTGCGTGTCCTCAAGTCCAAAGGCCAGGAAGCCTGGCGTACTGTTGTTTAATAGTAGGAGAAGATAGGGTATTCCAGCTTCTAGGAGAGAGCACAATCTGCCTTTCCTCTGCCTTTTTCTTTATCCAGGACTCCACCCTATTGGATGGTACCTACCCATATTGAGGGTGTATCCTCCCACTCAGTCCACCCACTCACACACCAGTATCCTCTGGAAACACCCTCACAGACACTCCCAGAAATAGTACTTCACCAGCTATCTAGGTATCTCTTAATCCAGTCAAGTTGACACCTAATATTAACCATCACAAATAGCAAGTGATATTTTAATTTAGCCTCTTAATTTAGCAATAGGTGTTTTTGTTTATTTTTGTTTTTTGTGTTTTGTTTTTGGAGACAGAGTCTCGCTCTGTTGCCCAGGCTGGAGTACAGTGGTGCAATCTTGGCTCACTGCAACTGCCACTTCCCAGGTTCAAGCAATTCTCCTGCCTCAGCCTTGTGAGTGGCTGAGATTACAGGTACCCGCCATCACACTGGCTAATTTTTGTATTTTAGTAGAGATGGAGGTTTCACCATGTTGGCTAGGCTAGTCTTCAACTCCTGACCTCAGGGGATCTACCTGCCTGGGCCTCCCAAAGTGCTGGGATTACAGGCATGAGCCACTGCCCCTGGCCAGTTTAGGAAGAGTTTTTGATAAGCACTCCAGTGTAGTGGTTGTCAGGCTGGACCTGGTTTTGCATCTGGGCTCTGTTACCTGCTTTGTAATCTTGGGTAAGATAATTAGCCCATCTACATTTCCATTTTTCCATCAGTCACATGGAGACTTTAATAATACATACCCCATAGTGGTTATTGTTGACAGTGAACATGAATTTAAACAGTTGAACACATTGTAAACTCTTTCAACACAACATTGGCATTTTTAGGTCCTGCGTGTTGGGAGGGTTGCTTGAGCCCAGCAGTTGGAGACCAGCCTGGGCAACATGTTGGAACCTGCCCTTTTTTTTTTTTTTGAGATGGATTTTCACTTTTCTGCCCCGTCTAGAGTGCAATGACCAAATCTCGCCTTCCCGCAACCTCTGCCTCCCGGGTTCAAGGGATTCTCCTGCCCGAGCCACCTGAGTAGCTGGGATTACAGGCATGCACCACCCACTACACCCAGCTAATTTTGTATCTTTTAGTCGAGATGGGGTTTCTCCATGTTGGTCAGGCTGGTCTCAAATTCCTGACCTCAGATCATCTACAGACTTCAGTCTCCCAAAATGCTGGGATTACAGGTGTGAGCCATTGTTCCTGGCCTGGACCCCTGTTTTTATTAAAAAAAGGAAAAAAAAAACTTAAAAATATTGACTTTTCTATTAAGGTTTTTTTTTTTTTTTTTTTTTTTTTTTTTGGAGATGGAGTCTTCCTCACCAGGCTGCAGTGAAAAGCACATTCTCAGCTCACTGCAACCTCTACCTCTCAGGGTCAAGAGATTCTGCAGTGTCAGCCTCCTGAGTAGTTGGGATTATAGGTGTGCAGCACCAGTTCTGCCTAACTTTTTTTTTCTTGGTATTTTTAGTAGAGACAGGGTTTCACCATGTAGGCCAGGCTGGACTCAAACTCCTAATGTCAGGTGATCTGCCCGCCTCTGCCTCCCCAAGTGCTGGGAACAGTCATGAGTTACCATGCCTGGCCTGAAAATTGACCATTTTTTTTTTTTTTTGAAACGGAGTTTCGCTCTTGATACCCAGGCTGGAATGCAATGGCGCGATCTAGGCCCACCGCAACCTCCGCCTCCAGGGTTCAAGGAATTCTCCCGCCTTAGCCTCCCGAGTAGTGGGACTACAGGCACTCGCCACCATGCCTAGCTAATTTTTGTATTTTTAGTAGAGATGGGGTTTCACCATGTTTACCAGGATGGACTCAATTTCTTGACCTCGTGATCCACCCACCTCGGCCTCCAAAAGTGCTGGAATTACAGGCGTGAGCCACCTCACCCGGCCAGTAATTTTTTTTTTTTTTTATACGGAGTTTCGCTCTTGTTACACTGGCTGGAGTGCAATGGTGCGATCTCGGCTAACCGCAACCTCCGCCTCCCGGGTTCAAGAAAGTCTCCCGCCTTAGCCTCCCAAGTAGCTGGGACTACAGGCGCGCCACCATGCCCAGCTAATTTTTGTATTTTTAGTAGAGACAGGGTTTCACCATGTTGACCAGGATGGTCTCGATTTCTTGACCTTGCGAACCACCCGCCTCGGCCTCCCAGAGTGCTGGGATTATAGGCTTGAGCCACTGCGCCCAACCCGTAAATTATTTTCAATGCTAATTGCTTATTTATGTGGTATGGTCAGGATGTATGTTGCTAATTCTACTAGATTGTGAGTTCCACGAGAGTTAAGAGCAGGAAAGTATCTACTTGAAGTATCTACTTCACGTTTCAACCAGGTAAACAATGCAGTTCCTGCTCTTAGCTCTCATGGAACTCACAATCTAGTAGAATTACTTTTGCAACATACATCCTGACCATATCACATAAATAAGCAATTAGGATTGAAAATAATTTACGTGCTGGGCACGGTGGCTCACGCCTATAATCCCAGCATTTTGGGAGGCCGAGGCGGGTGGTTCACAAGGTCAAGAAATCGAGACCATCCTGGTCAACATGGTGAAACCCCGTCTCTACTAATAATACAAAAATTAGCTGGTCATGGTGGTGCGCACCTGTAGTCCCAGCTACTCGGGAGGCTGAGGCGGGAGAATTGCTTGAACCCAGGAGGCGGAGGTTGCGGTGAGCCGAGATCGCGCCATTGCACTCCAGCCTGGGTAACAAGAGTGAAACTCCATCTCCAAAAAAAAAAAAAGGAAAAAAATTTACCGGCCGGGCACGGCAGCTCACGCCTGTAATCCCAGCACTTTGGGAGGCCTAGGGGGCCGGATCATGAGGTCAAGAGATCGAGACCATCCTGTTCAACAAGGCGAAAATGGACATTTTAAAAGATGTAAACAAGCATTTTAAAAGCATGTTGCTAGTGGCATTGAAAATTGGTTTAAGCCTTTTGAAGCACAATTTCAAGAGCCATAAAAATGCTTTACCTAGTAATTTCATTTGGAGACTAAGGAAATACTTCAAAATGCAGGAAAAGCTGTTTTTACTTAATCCTTCACATTTCTCAAACTCCCTACCATGTGTAGGACGTTGGGCTGGCTCAGGATCTGGTAGTATATGTTTTGCAGTGTTAATCCCAGCATCATTTGTGGTCGTAGAAAAACTTGTAGCTGCTATATTTCGAACAGTAGACAATGTAGCTAAATAATGATTATATCCATACTGTAGCATTTTCTAAAGCCACTGAAATTGGTAGCTCATTTATCATAAGTGAAAATAATAGGGTAAGATTCAACAGCCAGAAAAACATGCTGGGAAAAGAACAAAAGGAAATTGTAACTAATTGAATTATAGTAAGTGGGATTGAGGACTCTGCAGCAGGGGGTTATTTTTTCTTTTCTGAGATTTCCAAATTTTCTTTTGTATAATTAGACATTTTCTGATCCTGCTTTTGAAACAAGTAAATTTAGATCCTATTTTTTCAAATTTGTTGCATGTACCATGGTTAAAGTTGTTCTACATTTTATAATTTGTGTATATTTCTTTATAAAGTAGAAGTAGCCATGTCTTTTCAGTACAAAATAGCTTATTGTGTCTAATGTCAACCCTACTACACTTTGGGAGAGAAAGTATTTAATTAGAGTAGTATGGGCATGCATTCCGTGCATTTATCTCTGTAGGGAAAGGTGGAAAGGCTTCTGGGAATCCACTCTTTGCCAGGGAATGTGGGTAATTGAAATGTATGTTCTTAATTTAGTTTCGTAACAGCTCGCGAAGGTGGAAAGTGTTATTAGCCCCATGTTATAAAGAACTTACGGAAATAAAAGTTAAGTAGTTTATCTGCCAAGGTCACACAGTTTAATAGAGTATATATTATTTTGTAAATTTATGAATTTAAAATATTTTATTTAAAAAAATTTTATTTTATTTATTTATTTATTTTTGAGACAGAGTTTCATGCTTGTTACCCAGGCTGGAGTGCAATGGCACAATCTCGGCTCACTGCAACTTCTGCCTCCTGGGTTCAAGCATTTCTCCTGCCTCAGCCTCCTGAGTAGCTGGGATTATAGGCGTGCACCACCATGCCCTGCTGCTTTTTGTATTTTTAGTAGAGACGGTGTTTCACCTTGTTGACCAGGATGGTCTCCATCTCTTGACCTCATGATCCACCTGCCTCGGCCTCCCAAAGTGCTGGGATTATAGGCGTGAGCCACCACGCCCGGCCAAAAATATAATTTAAAAATAAACATTATTTTATTAATTTTAGTAATGACATATTACATTTTGTTTTGTTTTAAGAATGTTTTCACAGAATCCAAATGTTTACCAGAGAGGCCATATCCCTCTTCCTGGTCCCTCTGAAGAAGATTATTCACACAGGAGGTACACTTGGAATGTGAAGCCAAGTGCCAGTTGAGCAGCCCAGGAGAGAAGGAGGTGGTATCCTGACAATTACTGCGAACGATCCTATCCAGCCTATTGGAAATGGACTCTGTGATACAAACCTGGCCTGGAATTCTACCTGGTGACCAGAGCTGGCTTGAAGATCGCTGGTGATCAGATCTAATGAGGTTTCTTTATTGTTTCCTTTTGTGTTTAAGCTTAAGGAAAAATTATATTGCTGTTTACCTCACTAGGAAAGTGGCACAGTGTTACTGGCTTGTGTGTGGTTGTGAAGGTGAACTGAAATAGTGCATCTCAGTGGCCCGTGCATAGGTGTTGAGTCAACGGTGATCTATACTCCAGGGTCTTTTCTGGGTCAGCTTCAGGCTGCTGCAATTCACTTGGCTGGGTCCCAGGTTTTTAGCTGCACCTATAACTGTGAGCCCTTCCCCTGGTGGTAGATTGCCCTGTTTTGTACTGACCTTTCCCAACTGTGATCATATATGTATAAGGTAACCCAAAGCTGTTGGAGATGAGTCCTGAATCTTATTTTCTTTTCTTTTCTTTTTTTTAATTTTTTTTATTTTATTTATTTATTTTTTTAAAATTTTTTATTGGATTATAGGTTTTGGGGTACATGAGCAGAGCATGCAAGATAGTTGCGTAGGTACACACATGGCAGTGTGCTTTCTTTTCTTCTCCCCTTCACCCACATTTGGCTTTTCTCCCCAGGCTATCCCTCCCCACCTCCCCCTCCCACTGGCCCTCCCCTTTTCCCCCCAATAGACCCCAGTGTTTAGTACTCCCCTTTCTGTGTCCATGTGTTCTCATTTTTCATCACCCACCTATGAGTGAGAATATGCGGTGTTTCATTTTCTGTTCTTGTGTCAGTTTGCTGAGGATGATGTTCTCCAGATTCATCCATGTCCCTACAAACGACACAAACTCATCATTTCTGATTGCTGCATAATATTCCATGGTGTATATGTGCCACATTTTTCCAATCCAGTCTATTATCAATGGGCATTTGGGTTGATTCCAGGTCTTTGCTATTGTAAACAGTGCTGCAATGAACATTCGTGTACATGTGTCCTTATAGTAGAAGGATTTATAGTCTTTTGGATATATACCCAGTAATGGGATTGCTGGGTCAAATGGAATTTCTATTTCTAAGGCCTTGAGGAATCGCCACACCGTCTTCCACAATGGTTGAACTAATTTACACTCCCACCAACAGTGTAAAAGTGTTCCTTTTTCTCCACATCCTCTCCAGCATCTGTTGTCTCCAGATTTTTTAATGATCGCCATTCTAACTGGCGTGAGATGGTATCTCAATGTGGTTTTGATTTGCATCTCTCTGATGATCAGTGACAATGAGCATTTTTTCATATGATTGTTGGCCTCATATATGTCTTCTTTCGTAAAGTATCTGTTCATATCCTTTGCCCACTTTTGAATGGGCTTGTTTGGTTTTTTCCTGTAAATCTGTTTGAGTTCTTTGTAAATTCTGGATATCAGCCCTTTGTCAGATGGGTAAACTGCAAAAATTTTTTCCCATTCTGTTGGTTGCCGATCCACTCTAGTGACTGTTTCTTTTGCCGTGCAGAAGCTGTGGAGTTTCATTAGGTCCCATTTGTCTATTTTGGCTTTTGTTGCCAATGCTTTTGGTGTTTTGTTCATGAAGTCCTTGCCTACTCCTATGTCCTGGATAGTTTTGCCTAGATTTTCTTCTAGGGTTTTTATGGTGCCAGGTCTTATGTTTAAGTCTTTAATCCATCTGGAGTTAATTTTAGTGTAAGGTGTCAGGAAGGGGTCCAGTTTCTGCTTTCTGCACATGGCTAGCCAGTTTTCCCAACACCATTTGTGACACATGGAATCCTTTCCCCATTGCTTGTTTTTGTCATGTTTATCAAAGATTGTATAGTTGTATGTATGTTGTGTTGCCTCCGGTGCCTCTGTTTTGTTCCATTGGTCTATATCTCTGTTTTGGTACCAGTACCATGCTGTTTTGATTACTGTAGCCTTGTAGTATAGTTTGAAATCCGGTAGTGTGATGCCCCCCGCTGTGTTCTTTTTGCTTAGAATTGACTTGGCTATGCGGGCTCTCTTTTGGTTCCATATGAAGTTCATGGTGGTTTTTTCCAGTTCTGTGAAGAAAGTCAATGGTAGCTTGATGGGGATAGCGTTGATTCTGTAAATTACTTTGGGCAGTATAGCCATTTTCATGATATTAATTCTTCCTAACCATGAACATGGAATGTTTCTCCATCTGTTTGTGTCCTCTCTGATTTCGTTGAGCAGTGGTTTGTAGTTCTCCTTGAAGAGGTCTCTTACGTTCCTTGTGAGTTGTATTCCAAGGTATTTTATTCTTTTTGTAGCAATTGCGAATGGCAGTTCGCTCTTGATTTAGCTTTCTTTAAGTCTGTTATTGGTGTAGACGAATGCTTGTGATTTTTGCACATCGATTTTATATCCTGAGACTTTGCTGAAGTTGCTTATCAGTTTCAGGAGTTTTTGGGCTGAGGCAATGGGGTCTTCTAGGTATACTATCCTGTCGTCTGCAAATAGAGACAATTTGGCTTCCACCTTTCCTATTTGAATACCATTTATTTCTTTTTCTTGCCTGATTGCTCTGGCTAGAACTTCCAGTACTATATTGAATAGGAGTGGTGAAAGAGGGCATCCTTGTCTAGTGCCAGATTTCAAAGGGAATGCTTCCAGTTTTTGCCCATTCGGTATGATATTGGCTGTTGGTTTGTCATAAATAGCTTTTATTACTTTGAGATACGTTCCATCGATACCGAGTTTATTGAGGGTTTTTAGCATAAAGGGCTGTTGAATTTTGTCAAATGCCTTCTCTGCGTCAATTGAGATAATCATGTGGTTTTTGTTTTTGGTTCTGTTTATGTGGTGAATTACATTTATAGACTTGCGTATGTTGAACCAGCCTTGCATCCCCGGGATGAATCCTACTTGATCATGATGAATAAGTTTTTTGATTTGCTGTTGCAATCAGCTTGCCAATATTTTATTGAAGATTTTTGCATCTATGTTCATCATGGATATTGGCCTGAAGTTTTCTTTTCTTGTTGGGTCTCTGCCGGGTTTTGGTATCAGAATGATGTTGGTCTCATAAAATGATTTGGGAAGGATTCCCTCTTTTTGGATTGTTTGAAATAGTTTTAGAAGAAATGGTGCCAGCTCTTCCTTGTGTGTCTGGTAGAATTCGGCTGTGAACCTGTCTGGACCTGGGCTTTTTTTGTGTGGTAGGCTCTTAATTGCTGCCTCAACTTCAGACCTTGTTATTGGTCTATTCATAGTTTCAGCTTCCTCCTGGTTTAGGCTTGGGAGGACACAGGAATCCAGGAATTTGTCCATTTCTTCCAGGTTTACTAGTTTATGCGCATAAAGTTGTTTGTAATATTCTCTGATGATGGTTTGAATTTCTGTGGGATCTGTGGTGATTTCCCCTTTATCATTTTTTATTGCATCTATTTGGTTGTTCTCTCTTTTCTTTTTAATCAATCTGGCTAGTGGTCTGTCTATTTTGTTGATCTTTTCAAAAAACCAGCTCTTGGATTTATTGATTTTTTGAAGGGTTTTTTTGTGTCTCAATCTCCTTCAGCTCAGCTCTGATCTTAGTTATTTCTTGTCTTCTGCTGGGTTTTGAGTTTTTTTGGTCTTGGTCCTCTAGCTCTTTCAATTTTGACGATAGGGTGTCAATTTTGGATCTCTCCATTCTCCTCATATGGGCACTTATTGCTATATACTTTCCTCTAGAGACTGCTTTAAATGTGTCCCAGAGGTTCTGGCACGTTGTGTCTTCGTTCTCATTGGTTTCAAAGAACTTCTTTATTTCTGCCTTCATTTCGTTGTTTACCCAGTCAACATTCAAGAGCCAGTTGTTCAGTTTCCATGAAGCTGTGCGGTTCTGGGTCTGTTTCTGAATTCTGAGTTCTAACTTGATTGCACTATGGTCTGAGAGGCTATTCGTTATGATTTCAGTTGTTTTGCATTTGTTGAGCAGTGCTTTACTTCCAATTATGTGGTCAATTTTAGAGTAGGTGTGATGTGGTGCTGAGAAGAATGTGTATTCTGTGGATTTGGGGTGGAGAGTTCTGTAAATGTCTATCAGGTTTGCTTGCTCCAGGTCTGAGTTCAAGCCCTGGATATCCTTGTTGATTTTTTGTCTGGTAGATCTGTCTAGTATTGACAGTGGAGTGTTAAAGTCTCCCACTATTATTGTGTGGGAGTCTAAGTCCTTTTGTAAGTCCTTAAGAACTTGCCTTATGTATCTAGGTGCTCCTGCATTGGGTCCATATATGTTTAGGATCGTTAGCTCTTCTTGTTTTATCGATCCTTTTACCATTATGTAATGGCCTTCTTTGTCTCTTTTGATCTTTGTTGCTTTAAAGTCTCTTTTATCGGAGATGAGAATTGCAACTCCTGCTTTTTTTTGCTTTCCATTAGCTTGGTAAATCTTCCTCCATCCCTTCATTTTGAGCCTTTGTGTATCCTTGCATGTGAGATGGGTTTCCTGGATACAGCACACTGATGGGTTTTGGCTTTTTATCCAATTTGCCAGTCTGTGTCTTTTGATTGGTGCATTTAGTCCATTTACATTTAGGGTTAATATTGTTATGTGTGAATTTGATACTGCCATTTTGATGCTAAGTGGCTGTTTTGCCTGTTAGTTGTTGTAGATTCTTCATTATGTTGATGCTCCTTAGCATTCAGTGTGATTTTGGAATGGCTGGTACTGGTTGATCCTTTCTATGTCTAGTGCCTCTTTTAGGAGCTCTTGTAAAGCAGGCCTGGTGGTGACAAAATCTCTGAGTACTTGCTTGTTCACAAAGGATTTTATTTTTCCTTCTCTTCTGAAGCTCAGTTTGGCTGGATATGAAATTCTGGGTTGAAAGTTCTTTTCTTTAAGAATGTGGAATATTGGCCCCCACTCTCTTCTGGCTTGTAGTGTTTCTGCCGAGAGATCTGCTGTGAGTCTGATGGGCTTCCCTTTGTGGGTGACCCGACCTTTCTCTCTGGCTGCCCTTAGTATTCTCTCCTTTATTTCAACCCTATTGAATCTGACGATTATGTGCCTTGGGGTTGCTCTTCTTGCGGAATATCTTTGTGGTGTTCTCTGAATTTCCTGCAATTGAGTGTTGGCCTGTCTTGCTAGGTGGGGGAAATTTTCCTGGATGATGTCCTGAAGAGTATTTTCCAGCTTGGATTCATTCTCTTCGTCCCCTTCTGGTACACCTAACAAACGTAGGTTAGGTCTTTTCACATAGTCCCACATTTCTTGGAGACTTTGTTCATTCCTTTTTGCATTTTTTTCTCTAATCTTGGTTTCTCGTTTTATTTCATTGAGTTGGTCTTCGACTTCAGATATTCTTTCTTCTGCTTGGTCAATTCGGCTATTGAAACTTGTGCATGCTTCGCGAAGTTCTCGTATTGTGTTTCTCAGCTCCTTTAATTCGTTCATATTCCTCTCTAAGTTATCCATTCTTGTTATCATTTCCTCAAATCTTTTTTCAAATCTTTTCTCAAGGTTCTTAGTTTCTTTGCATTGATTTAATACATGATCTTTTAGCTCACCAAAGTTTCTCATTATCCATCTTCTGAAGTCTAATTCCGTCATTTCGTCACAGTCATTCTCCGTCCAGCTTTGTTCCCTTGCTGGTGAGGAGTTTTGGTCCTTTCTAGGAGGCGAGGTGTTCTGGTTTCGGGTGTTTTCCTCCTTTTTGCGCTGGTTTCTTCCCATCTTTGCGGATTTGTCCGCTGGTCATCTGCGTAGTTGCTGACTTTTCGATTGGGTCTCTGAGTGGACTCCCTGAATGTTGATGATGAAGTATTTCTGTTGCTTGGTTTTCCTTCTACCAGTCTAGCCCCTTCGCTTTACTAGTGCTGAGGTCCACTCCAGACCCTGCTTGTCTGGGGTGCACCTCTAGCAGCTGTGGCACAGCGAGGGATGCTACCAGTTTCTTTTTCTGCTATCTTTGTCCCAGGATGGTGCCTGCCTAATGTCAATCTTTTGGATATAGAGGGGTCGGGGAGCTGCTTGAGGAGACAGTTTGTACTTTATAGGGGTTTAATTGCTGAGCTGTGAGCTGTGTTGTTCATTCAGGGCTGTTAGGCTGCTATGTTTGATTCTGCTGCAACAGAGCTCATTAAAAAAACCCTTTTTTTTCTCAAATGCTCTGTGTTGAGGGGTTTGGGCTTTATTTTTGGATGTCCGTTGAGGTCCTGCCCAGCTAGGATGCAGACTAGCCACTGTTTGCCTGCCGAGGCTCCGCCCTGCTGTTGTGAGGCTCGCCCTGGCTCTGCTGTTCTGCTGTTCTCCGCCACGCCCTGCGGCGGAGTCTCTCTGTTGTAGCGGGTTGCCTCAGCGACGGCAGGCTGCGTCAGCAGTGGGCGTGTATCTCAGTAGGGACGGGTTGCCTCGGCAACGGCTGGCTGCGTCAGCAGTGGGCGTGTATCTCAGTAGGGACAGGTTGCCTCGGCAACGGCTGGCTGCGTCAGCAATGGGCGTGTATCTCAGTTGTGGCGGGTTACCTCGGTAATGGTGGCTGCCCCTCCCCCTCAGAGCGTCTCGGGCCGTCTGCACGGGGCTTGTTTGAAATCGCGGTTTTGTTCGTCCCACTGGGCCAATCCTAACGCTCTGTTCCTGCAATCCCCTGGGCTGGCCCACTGTTCAAGTCTAGCTCAGTCTCAAGTCCAGCCCTCTCACGTCTCCGGTTGCCGGTTCAATGGGGCACCCGGACAAGTGCGCCCTGTGGGGAGCGCTGGGTAGGGCCGGCCGCCGCCACCCCGGCTGCCGGCTTCGCCAGGCGGAATATCTGCCTGGCGTCCCGCGTCTCCTCTTCACTTGGGAATTTCCCCGTTCCGTGAGCAACAAAGATCAGTCTGGAAATGCAGCTCAGACTCACCTCTCCGCAGACACAACGAGAACTCCAATCCTGGGTTGTTCTCACAGCGCCATCCTGAATCTTATTTTCTAAAACACCTATCTGATAGGCCACAAGACATAAGGCCATCATCCACGGGAGATTTTGTACATTTCTTTTGCTCCACGCAGCCTTATCTTCTGCCATCTTCAACTTCTATCCAAATTTTATTCTTTTATTCCTAACCTCAGATTCTGAATCTTAACTTCTGCCATTTCCCCCATTTCTGGTTCTTTGTATAGCCCATAAAATCTCTCCCCTTTTGACCTTCTTAGGCCTGGACCATGTTCCGTCCTCTCTCCTCAATTCTACTGTCTATTCAACACCATCCAACTTTCAGTACCTTCTTGTTTTTATTTCATTTATTTATTTTTTTAAGATTCAGTTTCTCTGTGTTGCTCAGGCAGGAGGGCAGTGGTGCGATCTCGGCTCGCTACAACCTCTGCCTCCTGTGTTGAAGCGATTCTGCCTCAGCCTCCCAAGAAGCTGGGATTACAGGAACCCACCACCACACCCAGCTATTTCTTTGTATTTTTAGTAGAGATGAGTTTCACCACGTTGGCCAGGCTGGTTACAAACTCCTGACTCAGGTGATCCACCCACCTTGGCCTCCCAAAGTGCTGGGATTGCAGGCATGAGCCACCGTGTTCAGCCATAATTTTTTCTAAGGCAGCCTTTGATCCCCACCCCCACCAAGGAAAACCCACAGTCAACAGCATCTCAAAACTCAAAAGCCTATTTATTACTCATTATTAATTCTATTACATTTCTTTATCAAGTTTTAAAAATATATTATTGGAATAAAGAAAGCAGTATCTATCTATATATTTGGAAAACCAGCTGGTATCCAAAGTAAAGCCAACAGTCTCAGCAGCTCTTAGAATCTGTAGCCATAGAATTCAGAAATTTCCATATCTTTTTCCCTCTGGATGAAGAACTGCAGTTTCCCCAAAGAGGTGTATTTGGCAGCATTCTCACGCTCTTGCTGAGCCTTCCTCTTCATGGCCTCACGTTCTGGCCTCTGCTCTTTTGTGATGGGCGTTGACTCTACTGGCCCAGAAATGTCGGGTGTCCTCCATGGCCTGCGTTGTAAACTGAAGTCTTGGATTAAGAACTGATTTTGAGGCTTGGGCAGTGACTGGAGATTGGTCACAGCAGTGGAAACAGGCTCCCGCTGGAGAGAAGAGCAAGATGATGTTTTGTAGAGTGCTGGCCTAGAAGCAGCAGACTGAGAGGCAATAGGAGCCTGGTTAGGATTGGTTGAACCGGATTCGGTTGCATTGGTCGAAATTGGCTGAGCTGGTCTGGCAGGACCTGTCAAAGATGTGTTGGTAGGAGCCGGTTGGGATGTACTGACAGCAGTTGACTGAGCTGAGTTAGTAGAATTAGGTGGAGAAGGACAAGCCACAGCAGGCCTATGTGAGACCGGAGGGTGTGGCCGCCGAGAAACAGGTCGAGCTTGAGGTTTGTCCGGGGTCAGAAAGGGCAACGGTACCAACTTGACCTTCCCAGGTGGTGGCAACTCATTCTGGGATGGAGATGGACACTCTTTTTCAGCATTATCATCTAGTTTCTTGGCGTTGACTTGTGTTTTGTCTGGGCCTTTCCCCTCACGTCGGGTAGCCAGCCATGGTGTAAGAGCTGAGAATGGCCGGGGGTTCTGGGTGTTGCTTAAGCTCCCCAGAGTCCGGGAGGAAGACAATCCAGTTTTCTTGTCAGTCTTTTTCCCCAGTGCATGGAAAACTTGCACGGACTCTAGCATGTGCATGCCTAGGGAGGTTCGTGGCTTTTTGAAGGTCTCTTGGGTAAGCTCAGGTTGATTTTTCTTCCGCTTTCTATTTGGAATTGTTTGCTTCTCTTCAACCTTGACTTCCGTCCCTGACTTCTTACTGTCTCCAGATTTCTTGGAGCTGTTCTCTCTGCTCCTTTTGGTCTTCCCCTGCCCATGCCTCTTAGTTGTGCTGCCTCTGCTGGATGCGGCTTTGTGACTTTTGTTGCTAGAACGCTTGCCCTTGCTCACAGAAGCGCTGTCACTGGTGGTAGCACTGCAAACAGCCACTTCTCCCTCTAATAGGCTCTCTGGGTTCTTTGGCTGGATTTTGGCCTTGGGAGCACCCTGGATAGGCTCGGCAGCTTTATGCTTGTTCTTCCTTACTTGATCAGAGTGACCCTTTATGACACTTGACTTTTCCGGCACTTGATTTACCTTGATGGTGCTGGGATCTTTGGCTTTCTTGCCTGAGGGACTTTTGGATTGGTCAAGATCTTGTATGGAACTGAAGATGTAGGGACTTTTGGGTTGGTCAAGATCTTGTAAGGAAGTGAAGATGAACGGACTTTTGGATTGGTCAAGATCTTGCACGGAACTGAATAGGGAGGGACTTTGGGGCTGGTCAAGATCTTGTAAGGAACTGAATAGGGAGGGACTTTTGAGTTTGTCAAGATCTTGTAAGGAACTGAATAGGGAGGGACTTTTGGGTTGGTCAAGATCTTGTAAGGAACTGAAGATGGAGGGACTTTTGGGTTGGTCAAGATCTTGCAAAGAACTGATGATCGAGGGGAGGTGAGTATTCTCCACCAATGTAGTGACGTCTGCAAGATCACTGCTAGACTCACTCCCATTTTCAAGTAGCCCTTGGCCCTGAAGACTCAGGCTGTTGTTTCTCAGATTGGCATTTTCAGAACCAGGCTGCTCCCCTTGGCCAAGAGGATCAATGCAGGTCAGAAGCTGGTGAATATCAGGGACTTCTAAAGGAAGCACTGGAGGATTTTGGTTTTCTATTGAGAATTTGTAGGCATTTAGAGGGTTTGAAATCTTGGTCTTAATCTCATCCAAATTCTTATTCTCAGTTTTGTCCTGGCTTGGAGCTAGAGACACTGTCAAGAGATTAGTTGGACTCTGGACTGGAGCTGTCATTGAAATGTCCCCAAGCTCAGATGATGGATTACTCTCACGTATCTGGGTATTTCTGCTACTGCAGGACTTGGTGAATTCTGGAGTTTGTGCCAGACAAAATGTCTGGCTTGCAGATTGCAATTTCAGGGAAGTACCCATCCCCAGGGAAGTTTCCATCACTACAAAGGAATCAAGGAAGAAGTCAATCCCTGGTAAGTGTGATGTTCCCCCTATATGCCAATGCAGCAATGGGATACCTTTCTAACATGGGCAAGGCATTTCTACTAGTTCTTCTTTAGGACCATGGACAAGATTCTGTATTAGGTGATAGGCAGTGACTGTTCTCTTACTGGTTATCATTTGATGTGATTGTTTCTTAGCTTTCTTTGAATTTTATAGGGTTGTTATAAGCCAAATAAAAAGTAAAAGTGATTTTAAATAGGAGATGTTTTATAAAGCCTTATATTCTCGTATAGGGTCCTTTCCATTCTCTCCACTCTCTTGAGAGAGTAAGAACCCTTTACGCCATGGTCTAGGGGAGAGGGTGGAGCCCTTTCTTATGAAATACATAAGCAAGCACAGATTCTGAGCCTGTTTGTTTTAGAGAGGATCTCTAGCACAAGGTCTTAAATCCTATTGTAAGTTAAGGAAAATCAAAATGTCACTGCAAAAATAAGAGTTCTGAAATGCCTTCGAAAGAGAGTAAAGTAACAGATTAAGGGAGAACGTTACAGTGTGCTGGTGCAGGGGAACTGATCAGCCAGGGCACTAAAAAGTGTGGTATCTCTTGGGACTCTCTTACATGTGGCATAGATGGCCATTATAGTGTTCAACTTTCCCGCTTAGGAGGTGTTCTTACATAGAGGCTGAAAATGGACAGCAGTGCCCCAGAATAGTGGTTGAAGTCTCAGCACCCAAATTCTGACATTCTGTGGACTTACCACTCGGCTATAGATTTGACCCTCCCTTTCAATACTGTGTTTATTCCTCTCCTTTTTTGCTGTTTGTACTCACCTTGAAAACTGGTTTCTGTGCTGGGTTGAGCAGACACAGAGTAATGCATCCCGGAAGTGGAGACTGGTGGTAGAACTTTTGTGGGCTGAACCTCCTTTAGCACCATCACCATTTCTGGTTGATGGGCAGAGGCCCTATTTCCTGGGTATGACGCAGAGCCATAGGATTGCAGCCAGGGGCCAAGTTCTCCAGATAGTTGAGGCCCCAGTGTGCCTGGATTATAGTAATAGACCTGCCTTCCTGTCTGGTAGGGAAGTGACAGGCTATGGCCCTGCTGATTTGGAATTTGAGATTGTGTCCTCTCAACAAGTCTGGCAGATAGTGTTGGATACAGAGGGACTATAATATTTGCATGTGAAGTTTTATCATGCCGGGCTGTCATAGACATGGAAGAGACAGCTGTGTTCTGGTCAGTGACAGTCACAGTGAAGTCCCTGAGTGAGGGTGACTTCTTTGCTGTCTTTGCTGTACTGTCCCACTCAAAAATGCCTGGGTAAGAGGCAGCTGAAGTAGAGCTATGGCTCTGGCCACTAACCCCAGACAACATAGATGTGGTAGAATGTTGGTAAAGGTAGGCACTGCCCGTGAGTGGCTGGAAAGACGTGCCAGAGGCTTGTGGCAGTAGCCATGCTGAGCTAACAGCTGGAGCAGTGGCTCTGGAGAAGTTGGAAATGTTTCCTGTTAGGGAAGCCGCATTGCTCACCACAGGAAGAGAGAGCTGCAGAGAATTTGCAGTTCCAAGTAAAGAGGTATTTTGGAAATGTTCTGTAGGAAAGAAGAGAGATGAACAAACTGGTGAGATTGAGAAAATGTCACCTTATCTGAAGAACAGCATCATCTTAAGGTTGTTGCCATCAGGAAGCCTCTAATACCGATACTCATTGAGATACCAAAAGCCAAACACTTTACGATGGCCATGAGTGCTGAAGCAGTTTGGTCCTCTTCTGATGAACTGTCTTTGTGTCCAATATGGGCACAGATGTGCAGAAGACCCAAGAGGTCTGGATTCATACATTATTTCCTAGGCTAGAAGCAACCTTCTCCCTTCCCTATCTTTCTCTTGAATCTGGGTAAGTGTTGACTCCTAACTATTTCCTAGAATTGGAGCATTTTAGAACTGGGAGGTCCTTAGAGAAGTTCTAAGATTTTCATTTTATGAGTACCTGAGGCTGAGAGAGGTCAGATTGACCTGTTTAGGATTTACATTATGTAATATCATTACCATGACTTCCTTGCCAGGACTCTTCTTGAGCGTAGACCAGAAAGTAGGACAAATAGAATGTGTAATATGGCAATTTTGGCCTACGAGAACATAACACAGCTATTACTTTCATAATTTTTAGTGTCACATTTTGCTTCTACAGATGATGTGACATTGCCTAGCATTTACCTTTAAGCCAGGCCATTGGTAAATCTGAAGGGTCATTCTTGGCACTCTTCAAGCCTGGCTTTTTATCCTAAGTCAAAATACCACCTAATAGTTTCAGAAGAAATGGTTGTGTGTGTGTGTGCATGTGTGTGTGTGTTTCTTTTTTGACAGAGTCTCATTCTGTCATCAAGGCTGGAATGCAGTGACTTGACCTTGGCTAACTGCAACCTCTGCCTCCTGGGCTCCAGCAATTCTTGTGCCTCAGCCTCCCAAGTAGCTGGGATTATATGTGCCCACCACTGTACATGGCTAATTTTTTATATTTTTAATAGAGACAGGGTTTCACCATGTTTGCCAGGCTGGTCCCAAACTCCTAACATCAAGTGATCTGCTTGCCTTGGCCTCCCAAAGTACTGGGATTACGAGGTGAGCCACAATGTTCGGCCTGGAAACGTCATTTCTCAAACACATTTCTAAAATGTTTATATTAAAAACTGTCAAGTGTCATCTATGTTCAAAAGGGCAACAGAAAAAAACAACTGAATGTGCCTTCTGATAAGCTGCTTTATCTAGGGATGCTCTATTCTATCCTGTTTCCTTCCTAGGTTATTGATCTAAGCCTTTGCTAAAACCGACTTCATTTTGCCATATTCTGAATAGATTTCACTCTGTTGCCTTTGTGCTTATCTTCCAAAATTTAAAATACACTTTTTTCTTTTGAAATCATTGTGTAATTCTCCAGAGCATATCCCAAGGGTAAGTGTAGGGGACCCGGTCTTTCTGCTTTCATTTAAAATCCCAAATCCCTTACCTTAGAATATCTGCCTCCTTATAACCCAGTACTCTTCATTTTCTCTTTCCATCTAGTTCAGAAAGGAATCTCCAGAGCATGAATATTACGTTTGTTCGTTTGTTTGTTTGTTTGTTGGAAACAGGGTCTGGCCTCATCACACAGACTGAAGTCCAGTGGTGTGAACATGGCTCACTGCAGCCTCAACCTCCTGGCCTCAAACAGTCAACTCATCCTCCCACCTCAGCCTTCTGAGTACCTGGCCTGCCCCACACCTGGCCAATTTTTTTTTTTAATTTGTAGAGATGGGGTCGTGCAATGTTGCCCAGACTGGTTTCAAACTCCTAGGGTCAAGCGATTCTCCCATCTCAGCCTCCCAAAGCACTGAGATTACAGGTGGGAGCTACCATGCTCAGCTGAATATTAAAAACATCACTACACATCACTAAATATAAAATAGTAAAGTTGAAATATTAGTGAGGGAGATGTCCTCCCAAAGTGCTGAGATTACAGGTGTGAGCCACCGTGCCTGGCTGAATATGTAAAACATCACTAAATTTAAAATGGTGAAGTTGAAATATTAGTGGAGGGAGACTATTACACATGAACCGCCACAGAATATGTTGCTAGTTTTCTATGCCACTTAGGTTTTCTCTCTGTTTCTGTTGAAACAAACACCTTCAAAAAGTGTCTGAGTTCATTTTCTGTACGTGTGCCCTTTAAGACTCAGCGTTAGAAAAGAAGGGGGCAAGAGGGAATAACCAATCTATTATCCTAATGTAACAGATGAGGAAACAGATTTTGTGAGAGAACAAAAGAGTCCTGTAAAGTCACACAGCTAGTAACTGTCAAAGCCAAAACTGAAATGAGGTCTCTAGATATCTACTTGAATACGTTCCCTGTTATTCCAAGCTGTTTGGGACTACAGGGGTAAAGAAATCTAAAGTTAGGGGGAAAGAAGTCAAATGAAAAACTGTCAAGAAAGGTTCTCTCTTTACCTGACATGGTCAGAGAAGAAGAAACATCAACTGTAGATTCAAGGGATGAAGAGACGATCCTAGTGGATGTCTGGGTGGCTGAAGCCAAGGAGTGAATGTGTCCAGTATGAAGGCCACGGGTCACACTGGTCAGGGGCTACCCCAAGATTCTACCAGCTGGCAATAGGCTTGGTGAGAGAATGATGTCACAGAGCAGGCAGTTTAAAGGTGTGCAATAGCCAATAGGGAGGCCAGATTCTCAGGAAGATGGGATTGGCTGGCAGAGGTGGTAGAAAGCTGAAACAGTACCAAGTGGCTGAGTTCCAGGGAGGTGAAATCCTGCATGATCATCTCAGTGTTTCTTATACATGTTCACTAATATCATTGACTAGTATTTGTATTTTATATGTCATATTTCATAGTACATCATACCGTACATTTATAATTGTATAGTATATACAAAGCACCCTGCAGAGAAAGGAAAGGGACATCTAAGCTGAGCAGTTACAGTTGTTCTAAAAGCGTTTCAGTGAATCTGAGTAATGAATTTACTGCTGCTTTTAAGGGCCAGAGATTAAAGGGCCTTCTTTTGTACCTTGGCTTTAGAGCTAACTTCGTTGACTGCCCCTTGTAGGAAACGATGCGGTTTAAAGCTCCTCCTTTTAATGTCTTCTCCTTGAATCCTACATTCCTTGGGCTGGCCCAGGCTGGGCCAGGTTGGACTTGGATCTCTCTTCTGCTCTTCTTTTTTCCGCTTGATTTTAGACATTGTTTCTGGGCCAAGCTTTGATCTTGCATTTTTACAGTCGTGGGTATGACTTCCTGTCAACTTCCAGAGCAGGGGTCTTCTTTTCCATGTTGTGACATTTGGAAAACAAACTCTGCTCATAAGAAGCAAACACCAGGGAGGTAGAAGACAGGGCTGACTGCAGAGCTTCCCTCTTCTAGCCTTTGTTTACAATTCTGTTGCCCATAGTTTGCTACCTTTGACTCCTTGGGCCACACAGACATCCTGCCATCCTGCTCTTTTGTACGTGAGAGGCATTCAGGGTATTTTCTTTCTTCTCACGTAAAAGGATCCAGTGTGGCAGTTACTTATAGCCTCCTCTCCATTGTAAACAGCCACTGTGGAATCTTGGGCCTTTAGAATTCCCTGTCGGCCATGCTTGGGTGCAAGGGCCAGGCAAAATGAAGGGTTGAAGAATTTAGTGGAGAACAGGAAAGAGGCCAGTTGAGTGACAGGAACAAAGAGATTTGTGTGGCTTTTTTGGTTTCTGTGGGAAACGACACACCCTTATTGTGTATTAACAGAACAGATAATTCAGTATTTTGTATGTAGCTAGATAGTCCAGAAACTTCCATGACTTTTGTACACTGAAGAAAATAATCATAATATATTTTTCCATTTTGTTTTATGTCATATTGCTCATTTATATCATTCCTTAGTATGTCTACAGAATGTAGATTGCTTTTATTTTATTATTTTTATTTATTTATTTTTGAGACAGCATTTCACGCTTGTGTCCCAGGCTGGAGTGCAGTGGCAGGATCTCGGCTCATTGAAACCTGCACCTCCTGGGTTCAAACGATTCTCCTGCCTCAGCCTCCGGAGTAGCTGGGATTACAGGTGCCCGCCACCATGCCTGACTAAATTTTGTATTTTTAGTAGAGATAAGGTTTCACCATGTTGGCTCCTGACCTCGGGTTATCTGCCCACCTCAGCCTCCCAAAGTGCTGGGATTATAGGCGTGAGCCACCATGCCCGACCTGTAGGTTGCTTTTAAATGCCCCGGTTTTTATACATGTTTTTTCCCTGTCATATTTTTAAAAAATACAACATTGCAAGACATAGTGCACGTTTTTCTCATAATGGTTATTTCTTTTGAGACATCATGAACTATCTTGGCCTGATAGGTTTTGTGAAGGAAATCAAAAGGGGTGTGTGAAAAAGGCACTGTGGTGAGTTGTGCTGTGCGCTAAAGCAAAGAAAGAGATGTCTGCAGTCAGCTCACGTTGACCTGGATTGCCTTGGTTTTTGTTTTCCTAGTTAGTGCTTTTCTCACTAACTTGTCTTATAACCATGATAAATGAGTTAGGGCTGAGTTACTGGTGATTTCTGTGTGGAATAAGCTGGTTTGGAAGAGGAAATATATGGATATAATATTTTTACTTGGTGGTAGGGTATTAGAGATACCTGAATCAATTTTTTTTTTGTTGAGATGGAGTCTCCCTCTGTCACCCAGGCTGGAGGTCAAAGGCGTTATCTTGGCTCACTGCAACCTCTGCCTCCTACGTTCAAGCCATTTTCCTGCCTCAGCCTCCCAAGTAGCCTGGACTACAGGTGTGAGCCACCACATCTGGCTAATTTTGGGGCTAAGTTTTGTATTTTTAGTTGACATAGGTTTTCACTACGTTGGCCAGGCTGGTCTCAAACTTTTAACCTCGAGTGATGTGCTCATCTTCGCCTCCCAAAGTGCTGGGATTATAGGCTGGGATAACTGGGCCCGGCCAGAATATTTTATAATTTAATTTCAAATTTGAATGTGGACTGGGTGCAGTGGCTCATACCTGTAATCCCAGAACTTTGAGAGACCGGAGCTCTGCTTGGGTGGCTTCCCAGTCTCTTTCAGTCTAGGTCCTTATCCTGGCACTTAGGGCACCAGTATGGCGCTTTTGGCCAGCCTGGCATTGGGTGGGTGGCTTCTTGGGACCCACATGAGCCAATGGCACCATCCCTGCAGTGGCTGGAATCTGGGATGTGACTTTCCTGGAGGCTCCTCGTCCAAGAAGAGGAGCAGAAACCACATCCCGGAAAGGTAATATGTCTTGGTCCCTTGGCATGGCCTTTCCAGCTCATGGCTTCTGGGTGTGGGCTTCATCTTTTGTGGTCTCTGTGTCTCACTTTTGCTGTCACAAGCTTGGCTTTTCCACCCCTTGCTTTGAGGCTTTGACCCTCTTCGCCACCTGCCGTAGCTGAAAGGGGCAATGTCTGTGATGTCCTGTCATTTCTCCTTATTCTTGTAAAAGCGAGGTTCTGGCCATTGCTCTCAGGTGAAGTCCAGAAGAATTGCTTTAAGGCAGGACTGTTACTTTTGGGGACACTCCTTAATTCCCAAAATAGAACCTCCTGAATTCCTTGTTACTTGGCATGGAAATTGTAATGATTTGAGAACCCAGTAGTAGCCCCCTAAGATCTCACATGGAAAGTTGGTTTGTATTGTTTTCACAAATCACAAAGAGCATACGCTGTTACATCCTAACAGGCCTCATTTGAGAGATGTTCCTTTATACATAGAAATGATTAATTTTGAGACTTTGCACGTATGTGCAGTGAACTGTTTTTACTCCTTGAGACCATCCTCCACCATCTCATACCTCAGTAAATCCTCTTCATATTATGTCCTATCTTTTGACTGTCACCTTCTGTCAGCCCCCTAATACAGGTCTTGCCTGACCTATTGCAACTGGGTTCTAATTACTGCATCTCCTGTTTGTTTTCTTCCAATCTGTTCTTGTTTTTTTTGTTTTTGTTTTTGTTGTTGTTGTTTTGTTTTGTTTTGTTTTTCAGACAGAGTTTCGCTCTTGTCCCTCAGGCTGGAGTGCAATGGCCTGATCTTGGCTCACCCCAAGCTCCGCCTCTCTGATTCAAGCAATTCTCCTGCCTCAGACTCCCAAGTTGATGGGTTACCTAGTCACAGACACAAATTTTACAGATAAACTGCATGTTTCTTCTTTAATTCCTGATATAATGTTTTAAAAGGATGGAGTAAGAAATACCATGGCATAATGGGAAGAATATTCGGCTTGATTCTAGTCTTGTGCTGTTTGCCTGTTTTGACTTGCATCTCCAAGCCTTGCCTTTTCATGGTGAAGTTTGAATAGTGTTATTGACCTGAGTACTTCACAGGGCACATAGACCTGTGGCATGTGTGGAGCACCAAATGAGAGAAGGAATGGAAGCTCTTTGAGAAGTTGAGTACTATGGAAACTGTCCTTAGTATTGAGTATCAAGAGTGAAGGCATTTTATTTGTTTCTTTCAGAAACAAATTTCATTCTTCTCATAGCCTGTTGTTGCTTTCACTTCTTTGGGTATAATTATATTAATTATTGAGGGGTATTCTTTTTGTAGTTAGATGGGTTTGTCTGATTGCAGATTTAGCTATATATATATATATATTTTTTTTTTTCTTACTTCACAGTCCAAAACTGCAGTTAAGCTGTTAGTGTCTTACCAAGCCTGTAGTTTACATCATTAAGTCTAATTGGGACTATGCCAAGTTTCCCAGAAGCAGTGAATTTTGACATTCTGTTAGGTGATTCTTTATAGTATGTTCCTAAAAAAAATTCCTCTTCAGAGTTATTCATTTTCAGGGCAGTGATAAAGTTACACACTTTTATGTGTACTTCAGTTGTTTAACCCTGTATTTTCTTTTTATAGGCAAAATTATTGCTGTCTGCTGTACCCATGGGTTAAACAGGACTGGCTACCTCATTTGCAGGTAAGTTGCTGACCCCAGCGGGAGACCATTTTAAAGCTGTTTATGTCTGTTTACAATGGTAATGTAAACCTGTTGAAAAAATGCAACCAATCTAGAAACACATGAAGTAGAAGGCAGTCTTGATCTCACTCAGTGATTATCACCATTAATAATTTAGTACACATCTTTTCAGACTCTAAAAATGCAGATACAAATGGACACGTGATTGAATGGTGTGATAGTTAGACATTCTGTTTTTTAATATGTGATAGACATTTTTCTTTGGAAGTACTTGAACTCCTCATTCTTTTTAAGGGATATTTTCCTTTGCATACCGACGAACACCAAAGTCAGAAATTTTGGATATTATGAAAAAACATTGACATCGTGAACATTTCTGTATAAACAGCTTTGAATACATACACCGTAGTCCCAGAGGTAATTTCATTCAAATTAGAATTTCTGAATCAAATCATATGTGTTTTTATGCCTTTCATGGATGTTGCCTCACTGTACTGATTTATATTTGTTCATTCAGAAAATATCTCCTGAGCTTCTGTTATGTGGAGGCACTGTGCTGGGTGCTAGCAAAGAGACTTCAGCTGCCCTGTGCCTCCTAACAGTCTAGGCGGGGAGTAGATAGTAAGGAATCACACAAATGCCTATAGAATTACAACTCTGACAAGTGCTGAGGAGGAGAGGGACGTGGTACAATGAGAGCATAGAACAGGGAGGATTTCACTTCAATGAGAGGACTAGAGGTTTCTGTGAAAAGGACTGAGCAACTATCTGAAGTATGAATTGGTGTCAACCAGATAGGACCGTTGTGGAGAGAATTGTGAACATTAAGGATCAGCAAAGCCCACGGAACAGGAAAATATATACTGTGTTGGAAGAACTGGCCAGGGAGACTGGGCTATGGGGGAAGTATGGCATTAAAATGGAGCTGGAAGTAGGGGTAGGAGCTAAAACCATGCAGAGCTATGTGTAAGGTTTTAGTCACTATCTTAAGAACAATAGAAATCCGTTGAATTTTTTTTGTTGGGGATGAGTGTGGGAAACATAATCAAATTTACATTTTCAGCCTATCATTTTGCTGCTGAGTGGAGAATACACTGCAAAGGGAAAGAGTTAGAAGCAGGGAGACACATTAGGAGGTATCTGCAGGAATTAAGGCATAGTGGTGGAGTGGACCAGGGAATGTGGTCATTTTGGTGGAGAGATACAGACATATTCTAGAGATATTGAGGTAATACTGTTGTCAGGAAATGGTGGGGATTGAAGAGGAGAGTATGGAAGAAATGGCTGACAGTGATGGTGACTCCCAAGTTTCTGGTCCATTCTGTTGGTTATATGGTATTTTTTTAAATATAATGTTAATATTTTTCCCAATTTGTGTTTTGTTTCTGATAAATGCTCTGTTGTATTAAGGAAGTCTCTTTCTATTTTTAGTATATAAAGCATTTGGATAAAAAGTCGTTCCATATTCTCTTTCATTTTATTTATTAAATTATAGTAATGTAAATAAATATGTAAATAGATCTTCTGAAGTTGGGTCATCCTTGCATTCTTGAAAATGTCATTTTGTGTTCATGGTTTGTCATCTTTTAATAATTGCTGGATTTGATGTACTGATATTTTCTTAAGATTTTTATATCAGCCGGGCACAGTGGCTCATGCCTGTAATCCCAGCACTTTGGGAGGCTGAGGCGGGTGGATCACGAAGTCAAGAGATCGAGACCATCCTGGTCAACATGATGAAACTCCCGTCTCTAATAAAAATACAAAAAATTAGTTGGGCACAGTGGCATGTGCCTGTAATCCCAGCTACTCAGGAGGCTGAGGCAGGAGAATTGCCTGAACCCAGAAGGCGGAGGTTGCCGTGAGCCAAGATCATGCCATTGCACTCTAGCCTGGGTAACAAGAGTGAAACTCCATCTAAAAAAAAAAGAAAGGATTTTTATATCTATGTCTATAAGTTGAAATAGGACCTTTTTTGAAAAATCTTGATTGTTTTTCTTTTCATATATATAAATGACCCAAAATACGTTGTTTTGTTAGATATTTGAGTGATGTAGAAGGCATGAGGCCAGATGATGCAATTGAATGTAAATATGAGGGTTGTCACTATTTTTCCCTTTTATAAAATTAAAGGTGGAAATGTAGAAAAGTTTGTCAAATTTTGGGAAAAAAAATTTGTAATTCATTTGTTCCAATATAAGATAGTCTTGCCAAAAAGTCTATGAATGTCTATGGAAGTAGGGAGATATCACAGCCTGAATAGCGCATTTCAGCCTAATATACGTTTTCTGGGAAAATTTTGCTTTTTGTACAGTTGTTTTTAACAGGTTATCCACTTCTCAGTATTCAACATGTGCTGGGGACATTGCCTAGAAAGAAAAATCTCTTCACAATGGTCCTATCAGAAAGTCTTATTGATTAATTGATTGATTGATAGATTCTTCTGAGATGGAGTCTTGCTCTGTCACCCAGACTAGAGTGCAGGGGCACAATCTTGGCTTACTGCAATCTCTGCCTCTGGGTTCAAACAGTTCTCCTGCCTTAGCCTCCCAAGTAGCTGGGATTACAGGCATTCACCACCATGCATGGCTAATTTTTGTATTTTTTTTAGTAGAAACTGGGTTTCACCATGTTGGCCAGGCTGGTCAGGAACTCCTGACCGCCTGATCCACTCGTCTTGGCCTCCCAGAAGTGTTGGGATTACAGGCATGAGTCACCGCACCCATATTTCTTGTGTTTTATATGTGAGATTTGTGTGTCAGGGCAATCTCTTTTCATATAATGTAAATTGCATATATCCATTTTTCTGGTAACTTGTTTATTTGTTGTGGGAGATGTAAACAAATAGGAATGGGAAAAGGAAGAAATTGTTATTTTCATAGGCCAAAATATAATCACTAACCTGACAAGTACATTTGGAAATCAGTAATATTGTGTGGAAATATTCTCACTAATGAATTGGAATTTCAGTGTACCCAGGTCAAGTGGTTTTGAAGACTCAGCACATTTCATGCAGCCAGTCCACCCCATGAATTAGCCTGTTAAACAAAGCCCTAGGTGTAATCTACATGGGATCCAGGGTCACTCAACTCCTCGGCATTTCCACGCTCAGACCCCACATTTGCAACAGTGAGTCAGGTACCTCTCTCTGCTTTCCTTTTCCTGGAATTGAGGTAGAAATTAATACTGTAATCAATGCAAACACATTATGATACTGATGAGGAATTCTTGCTGACCAGTTTGAACCAGGAGATACTATTCTGCTCTGTATTTTGCAGTTAGCACTGGAAAAATCAGTTACAGGACAGGGAATATGTGACTTTTCAGAGGCAACTGGGAAAGGGACTTAGAAATTTTCATTGATTTTGAACTTAAGCCAGGAGTTTGATTTGATATCCAAAAGGATCTTGTATTCTTAGGCTACACTAATATTATATGGTTTTTAGATCAGGAAGGATTTTACTTAGAGCGTTAATATGAATTATAAGAAAAGTAATAAAATCCTGCTAGAGAAATTGTTAAGGATCTGAACAGATAAATAACAAAAGTATTTTCACTTGGAAAATGGGGAAAATCTCAGTATGGTTAAAGTAGTACATTAGTATGAGTTCTCCAGAATGATAGAATCAGTAGGATGGATGGATGGATGGATGCATGGATGGATGAGTGGGTCGGTAGGTGGGTAGGTGTGTGGCAGGGCTTTTTTATTAGGGGAATTAGCTTATGCACTTAGGAAGGCTGGGAAGTTTCATAGTAGGCTGTCTGCAAGCTGGAGAACCAGGAAAGCTGGTAGCGTTCAGTCCAAGTCAGCCTCAGAATCAGGGAAGCTGGTGGAGTAACTCTCAGTCCAAGGCTGAAGGCCTGGAAATCCAGTAAAGGGTACAGAACAATGGTGCGTGTCCTCAAGTCCAAAGGCCAGGAAGCCTGGCATTCTGTTGTCTAATAGTAGGAGAAGATAGGGTATTCCAGCTTCTAGGAGAGAGCACATTCTGCCTTTCCTCTGCCTTTTTCTTTATCCAGGACTCTACCCTATTGGATGGTACCTACCCATACTGAGGGTGTATCCTCCCACTCAGTCCACCCACTCACACACCAGTATCCTCTGGAAACACCCTCACAGACACTCCCAGAAATAATACTTTACCAGCTATCTAGGTATCTCTTAATCCAGTCAAGTTGACACCTTAAATTAACCATGACAAATAGCAAGGTATTATTCTTTGCCTCTTAATTTAGCAATAGGTGTTTTTATTTTTGTTTTTTGTGTTTTGTTTTTGGAGACAGTCTCGCTCTGTTGCCCAGGCTGGAGTACAGTGGTGCAATCTTGGCTCACTGCAACTGCCACTTCCCAGGTTCAAGCAATTCTCCTGCCTCAGCCTTGTGAGTGGCTGAGATTACAGGTACCTGCCATCACACTGGCTAATTTTTGTATTTTAGTAGAGATGGAGGTTTCACCATGTTGGGTAGGCTAGTCTTCAACTCCTGACCTCAGGGGATCTACCTGCCTGGGCCTCCCAAAGTGCTGGGATTACAGGCATGAGCCACTGCCCCTGGCCAGTTTAGGAAGAGTTTTTGATAAGCACTCCAGTGTAGTGGTTGTCAGGCTGGACCTGGTTTTGCATCTGGGCTCTGTTACCTGCTTTGTAATCTTGGGTAAGATAATTAGCCTGCCTACATTTCCATTTTTCCATCAGTCACATAGCAATTTTAATAATACATACCCAATAGTGGTTATTTTTGACAGTGAACATGAATTTAAACAGTTGAGCACATTGTAAACTCTTTCAACACAACATTGGCATTTTTAGGTCCTGCGTGTTGGGAGGGTTGCTTGAGCCCAGCAGTTGGGAGACCAGCCTGGGCAACATGTTGGAACCTACCCCTTTTTTTTTTTTTTGAGATGGATTTTCACTTTTCCACCCTGTCTAGAGTGCAATGACCAAAGCTCGCCTCCCCGCAATTCCTGGGTTCAAGGGATTCTCCTGCCCGAGCCACCTGAGTAGCTGGTGTTACAGGCATGCACCACCCACTACACCCAGCTAATTTTATATCTTTTAGTCAAGATGGGGTTTCTCCATATTGGTCAGGCTCGTCTCAAACTCCCGACCTCAGATGATCTATAGACTTCAGCCTCCCAAAATGCTGGGATTACAGGTGTGAGCCACCGTTCCTGGCCTGGACCCCTGTTTTTTTTAGGAAAGGAAAAAAAAAAAACAAAAAACCTTAAAAATATTGACTTTTCTATTAAGGTTTTTTTTTTTTTATGGAGTCTTCTTCACCCGCCAGGCTACAGTGCAACAGCACATTCTCAGCTCACTGTAACCTCTACCTCAGGGTCAAGAGATTCTGCAGTGTCAGCCTCCTGAGTAGTTGGGATTATAGGTGTGCAGCACCAGTTCTGCCTAATTTTTTTTTCTTGGTATTTTTAGTAGAGACAGGGTTTCACCATGTAGGCCAGGCTGGACTCAAACTCCTAATGTCAGGTGATCCGCCCGCCTCAACTTCCCCAAGTGCTGAGAACAGGCATAAGTTACCATGCCTGGCCTGAAAATTGACTTTTTTTTTTTTTTTTTTTTTTTTTTTTTTTTTTTTTTGAGACGGAGTTTCGCTCTTGTTACCCAGGCTGGAGTGCAATGGCACAATCTCGGCTCACTGCAACCTCCGCCTCCTGGGTTCAAGCAATTCTCCCGCCTCAGCATCCCGAGTAGCTGGAACTACAGGCGTGCGCCACCATGCCCAGCTAATTTTTGTATTTTGAGTAGAGATGGGATTTCACCATGTTGACCTGGATGGTCTTGATTTCTTGACCTCTTAATCCACCTGCCTCGGCCTCCCAAAGTGCTGGGATTACAAGCGTGAGCCACAGCGCCCGGCCGTTAATTTTTTTTTTTTTTTTTTTTTTTTTTTGAGTCAGAGTTTTGCTCTTGTTATCCTGGCTGGAATGCAATGGTGCGATCTCGGCTCACCGCAACCTCCGCCTCCTAGGTTCAAGCAATTCTCCCGCCTCAGCCTCCCGAGTAGCTGGGATTACAAGCGCTCGCCACCATGCCCAGCTAATTTTTGTATTTTTCGTAGAGACGGGGTTTCACCATGTTGACCAGGATGGACTCGATTTCTTGACCTCGTAATCCACCCGCCTCGGCCTCCAAAAGTGCTGGGATTATAGATGTGAGCCACCGCGCCCGTCCCGTAAATTATTTTTAATGCTAATTGCTTATTTATGTGATATTGTCAGGATGTATGTTGCTAATTCTACTAGATTGTGAGTTCCTAGAGAGCTAAGAGCAGCAAAGTATCTACTTGAAGTATCTACTTCAAGTTTCAACCAGGTAAACAATGCAGTTCCTGCTCTTAGCTCTCATGGAACTCACAATCAAGTAAAATTAGTAACATACATCCTGACAATATCACATACCCTAAAGAATCCAAATCCTTGAAAATATGCAGACACATTGCTTATCACCATTGCACAGGCACGGGTCTTTAATCTCAGTCTCTAAGACTGTTGCTCTATTTTCTACCACCAGCTTTAGGATATCCATACATCATACTCTTCAGCATCTGCCAGGTTTTCTGCTGAGCATTATGGTCCCTCTAAAACCACAGCTTGATTATCTTCCTTGTGCTGCAGCTTTGGTAGTTCAAAGTCCTCTAATGTTCTCACATATCGGCTTGCTTTGCACATCTTGGGGGTTAGGAAAATATTCACAGTTCCGTGTCATTGGATCTTTTAAAATTCTTTCCTTGCTTTGTCTTTCAAAACAAAATGAAATGGAAAAAATATCCTCTTCCTTCTCTTTTAAAATTCTCTCTTATAATTAAATTCTTTTTCCCATATTTCATCGTGAAGCTTCTCTGGCAGTCCTCACTGTTAAATAAATTAGAATTTCCCCTCATTGCAGTATTCGATTGACTGATCAAACTAATTAGATCTGCTGGCAATAAAGGTATTTGGAGACTTATTTAAAAATCTTCTGATATCTGAAACCTTTCTCTCTGCTTGTGGAATCTACTATTTAGGCATTTTGGTGGGAGACAGTGTCTTATCCGACTAGTGTAGCTAAATAAGCCAGAGCCTTGCTGTCCCTGAAGACTAGCAACTAGGTCATAGGCATATAGGATTACAGATACATGCTCCAGGAATATACTGAATACAGAGAGAATAACTCAAAGAAACTGAGACAGTTAGAACCTTTCCAGTATTGGTGTTGCTTGTGTATCAGTCTGTTCTCATGCTGCTAAGACATACCTGAGATTGGGTAATTAATAAAGGAAAGAGGTTTAATGGACTCACAGTTTCACATGGCTGGGAGGCCTCACAATCATGGTGGAAGATTGAAGGAAGAGCAAAAGGGGTCTTACATGGCTGCAGGCAAGATAGCCTGTGCAAGGGAACTCCCTGTTATAAAACCATCAGATCTTGTTAGACTTTGTCACTGTCATGAGAATAGCTCAGGAAAGACCTGCTCCCATGATTCACTTGCCTCCCACTGGGTCCCTCCCATGACACGTGGGAATTATGGGAGCTACAGTTCAAGATGAGATTTTGGGTGGAGGCACAGTGAAACCACATCAGCTTGTTTGGCTTGTGAGCTCTTGAAGTGGGCTGTAGTATGATTCCAGCTCTGCTTCTCTACCCTGTGGAGCTATCCAACACACTTCCAAAAGACACTTTATCTGATTAGAGTAACCAGAGAAACATTCCTTTGTTTGTTACCAAGAACTATGATTAGCATAAGGTATATAGTTCTTGCCTAGTGAATAACTTCTGGCTTATAATAGTGCTTTAAGACCTGTGTGTCTCACTTTGGGTCTTTCAAGGCTCAGGTGCTGTGAAGTATTGGCTTTCTTCATAGTCGATTCAATAGCAAATGTAAGATTTGTAATTTTCATGTATGAGTTTTCCAGATGGTAGCTTAAGCACATCACAGCATATTTGTATTTATTGCCTTTACTCATATCTTATTTCTTAAACATTGGTGAGAGCGCCATCAAAAATTGTTTTTGGCTTAACTCAAACAAAACTGTTCAGGAATAAATAAGCTATTTTAAAATAAGCACTTGATAATGTTGGTTGGTGGAGTTATTTATTTTGATTTGTCATGTATTTATTTTTATTTTAAAAAAGCAGTTATCCA